TGCCTATTTCTCGTTGTTCGCTTTGTGTTGCCGCAGTATTCGCCACAGTATTTACTCTCTTTTTTGTCCTCTCAATAGTCAGAGAACCGCATGGTGTAATGAACTGAAGGTGGCGCATTCCCGAAACCGCTACTTTGGTTTTGCCGACTTTGACATTTATGGCAATACGTAAACAAACTTTTTGTTTAGAAACAAGTGCAAACGTATTGCAAACGTATTGTGTACTTTCAAGTGAAAATCGAAGTAATTCGTGCGTTCTGAAGTAAAAAACGTTTTATTTGTAATAAAAACTTTATAAAAATTTCGTGTCGTGTGTTGAATTGCAGTAGCCGTAAGGGTAAAGTCCCCAAATACAGTTTTTTTTTGTTTCCCCGCGACGACGCCTTGGCCAGAAAGTGGGTAGAGTTCTGCCGGCAGGAGAAGCCATACAATTTAGACACCAACGTAATATGCATGAAGCACTTTGCGGACCACTTTTAAACACGACATGTTAAGTTGAAAACGTTGAAATACCACAAATGACAAATTAAAATCGGAGGTAAGCAAGCATCGACCACTTTCTGCAGGAAAACATGCGCTGGGACAAGACTTTTTCTAAATTCTAAATAGTTAATTAATAAGACCTATTCGTTTGAACACATTTCAAGAGTGGTTGTATATTTTTTGCTAACGTTGTGCTTAATTTGCTATATTCAAAGATGGCTTGAGAAATTGGCGAATCATGAAAAAAACACGTTTTCTCACTGCAAATTCACAACTGTCAACTCATTGTTCTTCGCCATATTCTTTGTTTACCCGTTGCCACAAATGTTATTCTGCGGGAATGCGCAATCTTGTATTCTATCAGAGGACCGAGTACGGGGTGGATTTCCAGTAAAATCTGACTGATTCTGACTAGTCCGGACTCGTACGGGATCGCAACTTTTAATATTGATAAATAGTGAAAATAAGAGTAAGTAGAACTTTTCAATAATTTTGACTGATTTATTATACATTCATATAACTTATTAATAAAATTAATAAAGTAAAATCGAAGAGTTTTGGATTGCAAATTAAATAAAGTGTTTGTAAACTGATAACAAGTCGGTTAAT